AGCCACCCATTTCCTTTGGGGTTCTGCTGGATGGAAAGCTTGCTTTGTGAGACTCGTGAAAATATGCTCCAATGTTCTATGTCATGGGCAATTTTGGAGCTTCTGAGGGATAATTTAAGTGCACTTGATTTTTTGCCTTAGACTCTGACAGCAGAATGACACTGCCTTGTGAGAGAAGGCCCTCTGTACGGTGCCATGGTTAGGATAGCAGATGCTGAGTCAGGAGGCCCAAGTTCAAATCCTGCCTCTGCCACTTCCCAACTGCATGACCTTGGAAGGTCACCCTCTCTGAGGCTCAGTTTTCTCATAAGTCAAGTGGTGATATTAATATTGAGCCCAATGAGGTAAATGGAGCTGCAGGTGCTCAGTGACTGGCCTGGTTGGCATGATGAAATTAAGGGCGCCTCTGTAATACCACTGAGCAATTACATTCTGATATCTTTCTCTTAGGTGGGTGAGACAGAGGAGAGGGGATGGGTAGGGAGCCAGGGAGTGTTTCCTACTGGTCAATATCACATCTTGCATCTTGCAGAAGAAAAGGTAGAGGATCCCTAGATATCAGGTGTAAAAGCCCATTTCCCTTGCTAAGCCCCGGATCCACCCGCCATGGCTCCGGTTTCCCACCAGCAACCTGGGGAATGGCTGGCCGCTCAGTGCACGTGCTGGAAAGGACCAATGCATTTAGTGCTAGGATTGTCCTGGACACAGCATCCTTGCCTCCTGATGGGTGGCAAGAAAGCATCTGGACAGAGTGTGTGATGCCCTCTGGAGGGGGCTAGAGGCAGGGCAGGTGGCTCAAACCCTCCCCACCAAGGAGAGCCTTTGAGGGACCAGCCTGTCTCCCTGTTTCCGTCTGTTGCCTTGCCCTTCCTGTGTCTCTGCTTCTCTCACTTTCATGTTGTCTTTTATTTGATCCTCCCTGTTAGAGACGCCGTGTCTAGGGCTTGGCTGGCTGGTTCCTCGGGGAGGGGATCCCAGAGTTTCTCCCGAATCTTGGAGAAGGGGTGAGGGGAAGCAGGCAGGGCTGGCCTAAACCCAAGAAACATTCATTCCTTCACTGATTCCTTCCTTCATTTAATCACTCACTTTACAAATGTTTCTTGAGCGCCTCCCCGGGCCAGCTCTGTCCTGAATAGAGCAGTGGCCATCCAGACCTCTGCCCGCGGAGACGGCAGGCGACCGCTACAGTCTCAGGTCAGCGCAGCGGGAGGGGATCCTGGTCTGCCTCGCCCTTACCTCCTGGGACTAGAAACTTGGCCTTGCTGAGTCTGTTCCCCCCATGTGAGTATCTCCGAGGTTTTTTACAAGAGTAAAGGAGTGAGGCAGGGTCTCAGCACCGAGCACAGTATCTGGCACAAAGGACAAGCTCAGCACTTGATGGCTAAGTAAGTGACAGCTTTACAGGAGAGGAAGCTGCCCGTGTGCGTGAGCATTACTTGTACAGGAATCTCCCAACTTCGGTGGCTTTCTGAGGACAGCTTTGTCCCTGGCTTTGGGGTAGGTTGGTAGGAGTCCCTGAGCCCGGGTGTCTGCTTGTCGGTGGGAGAGAAATGACCTCAACTGGCTCAAAATCCCTGGGGTGTGACCTGAATCCAGAGTGCCGCGATTATCGCTGTTGCCCGCATCCTCTGCAGCCTCCAGGGCAGGTGACCCCTGTCAGGATGAATGGCGCCTCTTTACTCTCTGCAGGTGAGGAAGGGAATTGAAATTTCTGGAGCGCCTTCTCAGGGCCAAGTGTTCTGACGGGTGTCTCACACCTAACATTTTCTCACTTAGCCCTCGCAGCCCCAGTGTTTGGGGTTTTATGACTCCATCTTACAGATGAGGGAAATTGAGGCTCAAGAAGGCTGTGCACCCGGCCCAAAGACTGGCAGCTGGGGATGGCAGAACTGGGAACTGGACCCAGGTCCTGTCAGGTCCAAGGTCCATGTTCTCATTTGCTCCCTTTCTCCCTGCCTCGGGTGCCGCCTCAGGGTTCTCATCCTCCGCTGAGGACGCTTTTGGCCTCCATGTGATCTTGTGCCCTGGCCAGGCTTGGGGAGCTGGAAGCAGAAAGGTGTTTTGCTGGCAGAGCTCCCTGTGTGCCTCCTGGGGGTCACCAGCAGGACGCTGCTCAGCACAGTTGGAAGTATCCCCCTTGGCAGCAGGATTTAGAGGGGCTGCCTGAGTCCATTCACTGCTCCCTGTGTCAGAAATAGCGCCCATTGGTTCTCTTCAAGTTCTCCCCAGCTCCTGGGGCCACAGAAGGTCATGCAGGTGCAGTATGGGGCAGTATTTTAGAGAGCGGCAGTGAGGGCTGATGGGGCAGGAGAGGGTCAGGACATCGTCCACCTGGAAGTTCTTGTCTATTTAATTCACTCTCAACCCCCAGCGTTGGAAGTAAGTGTCATTCAGGGCTAATAGTCTTTAACTTCTCTTTCTGATGCTGGCTAATCTCCCTTTGAAACAGAGAGCAGACCTTAAGCTCCCAGGTAACTTGATGTAATAAGGATCTAAAGATATTTTTGTGCTCATACTGTATTTAATTCTACTTTGTGACAAGTGATAATGGTGTTGGTTGGCAAACTGGCCCCAGACACGGTCGGCGGGGAGAGACCGAAGAAAGAGGCCACTCCAGATGGGCAGGTGGCAGTTTAATAAGCAAGGGGACTTACATATCAGGCTTTTCTTGGGCAGCCACAGGATGAGTAGATCTCCAAACCTGCCCACCAGGATCTTAAAAGTTTCTAGAGGGGACTTAACGTGGTTCAGTTGGTGTCATGAGAACATACTCAGTCCAGGTGGTCTCAGCACCACATCACCGTCCGAAGCCTGTGTCCTTAAAAAGGGCTCCCACTGTGGACGCTGTGGGCAGGAGGTACATTTTAAGGACGGGGGAGGGGGTGCGGAGCCTCTGGTTGCCGGGGGCCAGCCCCCAGTCAGCCTGCAGTCCTGCCTCTTGATTACCGCTCTGAACCAGTGGGTTCTCATTTAACCTAGTGCTGTGACATTTCCTTTCACAACTATTTATTTAAGTGAAAAAGATAAAAGAGCCCATTGAAAGAAAATCTAATCCAGGGTTGCAGGGATATGGAAAATTTCCTAAAGGTGGTACTTGAAGGCTGATTAGGGGAGCAGTAGTTCTGCCACTTAATATCAGTCTGATTTCTGCTGACTTGTGAGTCAGTTTGCCCATCTATAAAATGTGGATGATAACACTGCTTACTAGGACTCTTGTGAAGATTTAATAATGATGATGATAATAATTTGAGCTTTTTCCCTGAGTCACACGCGGAACTCCAATGCAGGCTGACTCCAAAAGCCAGGAGCTGAACAAAGATGACATATTGAATGAAATGGGGTCAGTGACTGGTGACACTTCATCACCACCATCATCGTCACATTCTTTATCATTTTGAAAGTGGCAGGGCTAGTTTATTAGCCACATCACCTCTCTGAGACTCAGTTTCATCACCCAGAAAATGGAGGTAAAATGATGTCCTTGTGATAATCAGAGCTGGGTCCGGACACATAGGAGGACCTCAATAGGCAGTGGCTGTTTGGGGCCCCTCAGGGACCTGGGACCAGAGCTCCTCCATGGTGGAAACTGGTGAAGTCCCAGATAAAGCCTTTTTCCAAATTTCCCTTTTTGCCTTAAACCAGGCTGATTCTTCAGCACGTCTGTTTGAAGACGTGCATCCTAATGATCTTTGTGTTGCACTGGAAAATACGTTGGCAGCTGTCATACTTATTTCAAGGCATGGAACACATTGTTAGGAAAGATAAGAGATGGGGGAAAAGTGTTTAAGGATGGCACTGTTATTTGTTTTAATAAGTCATATTTTTAAATTAGCGTTACAAAATTAATGCCTAACCACTGTAGAAAATTTGGAAAATAGAAAATCCCCTTACCTAGCAGTGATTGTTAATATTTGGCTATCGTTCCTTATTACGATTTCTTTTTATAGCCATTTGGGATGATTTACACGGTTCATATCATACTGTAGTGTGGTTTTCTATTTCATTTTTCATTTAACGTTTGATGGAAAGCATGGTCCATGTTGTGCAAAGTCTTTGTTGCTGATTTAAGTGGCGTTATAATGGTCCGTAGAGTGACTTCTCTTTGCTTCTTTAGCCTCATCTGGTTTCTCCTCTCCCCTGCTTATTATTCCAGCCACCTGGCTTCTTGGTATTTCTCTAACACACATCTTGCTCATTTCTACCTCAGGGCCTTTGTACTGCCTTTTTCTACCACTAAAGCTCTTCCCTGGGTCTTTATGCAGCCGGCTTCTTCTCACCTTCTACAACTTAAACAAGATTCACATTCTCTCTGACCACCACAGATTCCATAGCAACTCCCCTGGTTTCTCTTGATATCGTTTACCCAGTTTAATTTTCTCTTTCTGAAGGGAGAACACTTTATCATTTTATCGTCCTGAAATTACCTGATTTATCTGTTTACTTGTTTATTGTCTCTAGATTGTAATAGACTGTAAACTCCATGAAGGCAGGTATCTTGTCTGTTTGCTCATTGTTGATTCCCAGCGCCTAACATAGTGCCTGTCATATAGGAGCTTAATTAACATGTTTTGAATAAATGGATGGGTGGTGAGATGGTTGGATGTGTGGCTGGGTGGGTAGTTGAATGGATAGGTAGGTAGGTGGCAGAGGGGAGTGGATGGTAGATGGATCGATAAGTATATATATGGGTGGATAAGTCATACTTCTACTAACCATTCCCTAATTCTACATTCAGGGTGTTCCCCTTGATAATTTGAATTGCTGTGAAAAAGCGAATAATGCAGATATCAAAGAAATAGGATAAACATGCCTCTAGGAGAACATGACCCCTGCCTGGGGACATCTGCTGGGGGCCCAGGCTGGGCAGTTTCTCAGGCTCCCTGTTGAAGAGGAGTGGCCTGAGGCTGGGGGGCGGTGAGAGTCTCCAGGGTCCTCATGTACGTCCACCCACTGCATTCCCAGGACCTCACCACCATGCTTCTGCTCTGTCCCTTGTGCAGTGGGCCGGAAGCAGTTCATGCGGTTTGAGTGTGCAAACCACGCAGCCGAGGCCCTGGGCTGCGAGTATGAGGAGCTGAACACAGCCACCTTCAAGCACCACCTGCGACAGATCATTGAGCAAGTGACGTCTGGGCCCAGTCGACGGGGCCCCGAGGATGAGGACACTGGCTCAGGTACTGCCCTGCTGCCTCTCTGGGTGGCCTTGGGGCTCATCTAGGATCCACTATAGGCAGACCGTCTATGTGCAGGCAGGTCCTGGTGGGTGGGAAGGGGCATTGTTCCTGCCTGCGTGGTACTTATGGTCAGATAGTTGGCTCTGTCTGGAGTCACGGGGCTGCTAAAACCCAAAGGGGCCCCTGTGCGGTGGGGAAGGGGCACTGCAGGGCCCAGGGATCAGGGCTTCTCCACTGGGTTTTATGTTTGCTGAGCCACCACTGCGCAGGGGGAAGACTGACCTTCCGGTCTGAGGAATAGAAGTAGGCGAGGGTGGCTGGAGCGTGATGTGGGGTCCAGCTCGTGTAAGCATCCAAAAACTAAGGTGTTTATTCTCAGACAGGTGGGAAGCCTGCAGGGCATAAGCAGGGAAATGTTCTGCTTTGACTCATTTTTCATGAAGCTGAGTCTAGAGGAAGATTAGGGGATGAGAGGGAGAGGAAGGGGCACCCAGGAGGCTGTACAAGTCCCCCTGGTGACATGAGGGTGACTGGACAAGGGGCGTGGTGGTGGAGCTGGGATGAAGTGGACACGATCAAGGTCTAGTTCATACATGGAGATGATAGCGTGGGTCCTGAGGGATAGCAAGGGACCAGGGCAGCTTCCAGGAGTTTGGCCTGAGCAGCTGGAGGAACGGGGGTGCGCTGAACAGATGTGGGAAAAAGCAGGAGGCTTTCTACGGCACCCGTGGAATGTGAGCTGCTGAGTCCCAGGTCTGCAGCCCTGGCCGGCCAAACACGTCGGGTGCAGACGGTGAGGGCAAAGGGCCCACTCGGTGCCCCAGGGCCTCTGAGAGCTGTCGGGAGTAGCTCCCCTGGAGGCTGCAGAGTCTGGGAGTTGTGGGGAGTACAGTTGGAGCTGCGGTTCTGGGGCCCACCTCTTAGAGGCCTCTTGGGGCTGCTCTACCTTCTAGGACCTTCAGCTTGATGCCTCACGCTATTCGGATTCACTGTCCATTTATGGTTCCTTCAGTTGCAGGTGTGAGTCTGCTTATGGGTGCCCCTCTTCTCTGAAACACACAGACATACGCACACATGTACCACCTGCACATACATGTATACACACATACAACCACACAGTGTGCTCATGTGCACACATGCTATACACACACACCACATGCCCAAACACATGTAACACACCCATGTGCACACACAGGCCCCTACACATACTGCAAACATGCACACATGTGTGCAGCACATTCATAGACAGAAACACCAAACATATGCACATGGATAGACACTACACATCACAGACAGTGCATGCACCACACACAGCCACAAACATGTTCAAGACCAATACCACCTAAATGTACACACACATAGCACACACGTGTGCATAGCACAACACACACAAGCACAGGCACATGCACACACTGCTTTGTGCGGCTGAGTCAGGCTGAGGTCTCAAGGGTAGATGCTAAGCAGGAAGGGACTAGCAGGCTTAGGAGAGATGCTGGGAAGCAGTGGGTTGCCTAGCAACAGCCCAGGTTGGGGGTGAAGTTAAAGGAGGGATGGAAAATGCTTGGGGGTTGCAGTGGGCTGCCTGGAATGTGCAAGCAGATCTGTTTTTCCAGGTGCAAGTGCGTGCAGATGTGGAGACTGTGTTTCCAATTCTGCGGATGCAATGAAACCTAGGGTCGGGGTTTGTGATCTGACCCTTCCTCTTCCCCCGAACTCTTCACTCTTCTTTGTTAAATGCACCCTAATCGATGCTGGTTATTTTAATGGGTCCAGAGTGTGTGTGTGTGTGTGTGTGTGTGTGTGTGTGTGTTTAAGCAAAATTGAGACCACAACTATAATAATAGTTCTCTAAGCTTTTTTTATTCCTCCTAACATTTTAGGTAGGTGTTTTCCATCTCATACCATGTTCTTCTACACCCGACTTGAAACATTCCTTTGTACAGACAGACCTGTAAATTATCTAACCCATTTGCTATTGTCGGATAGTCAAGTGGTTTCAAAAAAGTGGTTTTTGCCAATTTAATCAACACTTGGGAGAACATATGTACCCAGAAATCTTTGTTTCTCTGAATATTTCATTAGAAGAAAAGCCTGAGAGTAAAATTATTAGGTCCAAGTATATGAACATTTTATGGCTTCTGAAATAAAACTGCCAACCTTCCCTCCAGCAAGAATGCCTCCAGAAAGCATTTACAGAGTGCCCACTCTGTGCCGGGCCCTGGGGACTTGGAAGCCCACAAGCCCCCATCCTTAGGGCACTGCCAGCCTGGCCGGGGAGGCACAGTGAGTAAGATCACCACAGAAGCAAACATACGCTGTGGTCAGGGCTATCAGTCAGGCAGATTTGTTCTCCTGTGTCTGGCTTATTGCACCAGCATAATGTCCGCCACCTTCATCTGTGTTGTAGCGAATGGCAGATTCCCTTCTTTCTTAAAGCTGAATAATATTCTAGATGCTCCCATTAACATCAGGAATCTTAAAAAGTCAAGAGAGAAGCAGAGAGTGGAATGGTGGTTACCAGGGGCTGGAGAGAAGGGACAATGGGTGATATCGATCAAGGGGTACATAGTTTCACTTATGCAGGATGAATTAATCCTAGAGCATAGGTGAATAAGTAGATTAATAAGATCAGTAGATGACTAAGTCTAATGTACCTGCCTAACAATACCGTATTGCATACTTAAATAAAATTTTAGAGGGTAGATCTTATGTTAAATGTTCTTATCTCACAGACACACACACACACACCAGGAGGGAGGGAGGAAACTTTTAGAGGTGATGGTTCCATTTATGGCATTATTTATGGTGATGTATACTTACCTTCAAACTCAACAGGATGTATACATTAAATAGGTAGGTAAGCTTTTTGCATATCAATCGTACCTCAATAAAAAGATTAATTAAAAAAAGGAAGCAAGGTTTAGCTGGGAATTGGCCTGCTATGGTGGTGGTCAAGGCAGGCTTCCCTGAAGAGGTGACACTGGGCTGAGCCCTGAGGGATGAGCAGGAGAGCACGTGGGAGAGGAGGTAGGGCCAGGTTCCGCCAACACCTGTAGGTCCTGATAAGACGCTTGAACTTGATCCTAAAAACGTGGTTATGTACTTTCAGCAATGGAGGGATGTGTGTGTGGAAGAGGGGTTCCCTAGCCACAATGCCTGTGAAGAGTTATCCTTGGCCCCAGGCAGGGACCTGACCGTGGGGACCGTCCTTTCCCTCTTTCCCATTCCAGGGCTCAAGATGACCGGCGTGGAGTGTGTGGAGGGCATGGCCTCGGGCCTGTACCAAGAGCTCTTTGCTGCCGTGGTCTCCCTCATCAACAGGTAAGGGCAGCCTTCCTGGGCACCCAGGTAGCCTCTTTGCGGGCACACAAATGAGCCCAAGCATGGGGCAGCTTAGTGGACAGGGTATTTTTTTTTTTTGAGCCAGGAAGTGAGCGTTTGAGCTACAGAGTGTTGGGTTTAATTCCATGGTGGCCACTCAAGGCACAGTAGGTCCCCTCCCTGACACCCCTTCCACATATGTAAAGTAGTTCTATCTCCCGGGGTCATGGCGAGGATCAAAACATGGGTGAAATAGGTGAGGGGCCCAAAAGGGCATGGGATCTCAATCATAGTATAGTCCTGAGGATGAAAGTACAGCCTAGGGAATATAGCCGATAATACTGTGACATCTTCTGTGTTGACAGACAGTAACTACATTGGTTGGGGGAGCATCTAATAATGTAGATAAACTGTGGAATCCCTATGCTGTGTACTTGAAACCAACATAATATTGTATATCAGCTGTACTTCTAATTTAAAAAAATGTATTTAAATAACTTCCAAGTAGTGATCATGAAAATACCAACAATAAAAGCTAGCGATTTGGGGGTACCAAGTGAGGATCAGGGTCTGCACTGATTGTTCCACTCCCCTTGTGTCATTTAATATTCACATCAGCCCCTTTGACAGATGGGACAACTAAGGCATGGAGAGGTGAAGCTGGGATATGTTCCCACCTGGGGCCATCAGGTGTCCTTGAATAACCCGCCACATTGCTGTCAACCATTTATTTTTCTGTGGGGCAATGGGGAGCAGCCAGGGTAGCATTTTTGGGCCAGGATGTGTCTTTCCAAAATGTGTCTATGGGGCTGCAGGTACCTGGAACCTCTTTTTTTTTTCTGACATGTGAACAGTGCTCTGAGCTCGCCCTTGGAAATCTTTAAGTGATTTCATTAGGGCTGATCCAGAGCCCCGGCAAGAGCTTCCCTCCCTCCCCTTGGAAAGCCGGAGGTGTAATTAGGCTTCCAACATCCAGTTAAGAGGAAGAGGCCGGTACAAAGCAACTGAGAAGCCCAGTCCTCCAAGGCGGCTGTGGACACGGAATCAAATCCTTCTCGTTGCTGTAGTAATTACCACCGGAGGCTGCAGACACATGATCTTGAAACCAAGGGGAGTGTGTGTGCCTCAAGGGAGGAGAACTGTTCATGGGAAATGAACGGCCCATGGAGGAAGCCGTCTCAGCCCACAGGGGGCAGCTGCTTCATAGCTTGGTGCTTAGAACCCACATCCGTAGAATGGGTGTATTGGTGACAGCAATAGCTACTACCCCACCATTTCTGAGCACCTAGCAGGCATCTGGCTTTCTGAACATTAAGTGACTTAATATTCATGCGTGTCTATGCAGTGGCAGATCATACTGACCCCACTGTATAGATGGAAAATAGTGGTAAGTAACGGAGCAGAGCTGAAGTTCCAGCCAAGGGCCCTCCAAGGCATATAGTCGACCATGCTTGTGATAAGCTTTGCAGGTGACATTCACTGAGCACTTACCATGTGGCCAGCCTTCAAAGCCCTGGATGTCTTATCATGTCCAACCCTCCTGACAGCCCTGAGTTGTCTGCATCAGTAACCCTTTCACAGCAAAGGCACAGAGAGGTCAGGCAACTCTCCCAAGATACACAGCCCCTCCATTCAGAGTGACAGTTGGAGTCTGTGACTGTCTCTGCATCTCTTACCTCCTGCATTTTTCTGTGGATAATCCCTTCTCTGTCCAGCCGATAGATTCATTAAGAGGACCAAGGAGATGCCAGCTTAAAAAGGTTTTGTAAACAGAGTCTCTGAACGAAATTGTTTTCCTATTGCACTTCTTGTCACCAAACAAGAAAAGGAGGCCCTAGTCTAAGGGCGTCCCTTTTGTCAATGCAATTCCCTTCCTAGGAGGCATCCTAGGGAAGCTCTGTGAATATGAACCAGCGAACATGTAGGAACACTTCTAACTTTATAGCCAATTTGCTGTGTGACCTTGGGCAAGTTATTTCTCTACTACTCTGGGCCTGGTGGAGAGAAGGCATTTCCTGAAGGCCTGCTGTATCCAAGGGAGGCACTTTCCATATTTTAACTCCTTTGATTCTTACTGCAGCCCCTGGGATCATCTACTCATCCCCACCATCATTTAACAGTTGGAGAAACCCGTACTCACAGAGGTTGAGTAACCTGCCCAAGGTCACACAGCCTGTAAGTGGTGAGCCTGGTTTTGAATCTAGATCTGCTGGATCCCCAGCCCCAGCAGGAATGCTGCCTCAGTTTCTCCATCTCTGTGATGGGAGAGCGGGAGGCTTGGACCAGCAAGCAGGGCTCTAAGACCCCGTGTCATCTCGGGGCCTCTCTCCTCTCTCCCCAGGTCCTTCTTCTCCCACCACCTCTCCATGGCCTCCATCATGGTGGTGGATGGTCCGGGCTTTCAAAACCCCCGGCACCAAGGCAAGGACAGGGCCGCCACCTTCGAGGAGCTGTGCCACAACTATGCTCACGAGCGCTTGCAGCTGCTTTTCTACCAGCGGACGTTTGTCTCGGCGCTGGAGCGGTATCGGGAGGTATGGCGGCTAGAGTGGGGTGTTCTCCGGGGCTCAGTGGGCGATGTGAGGCCGGACAGGAGCCCAGCACTCTGGTGTCCCAGGAATCTTTGGCTTCACCCTGTTTGGCCACTGAACAAAAACCTGGACTTCGGGCCTGGGTCCCCCATTCCATCTGTGGCCCCCTATACTCTACAGTCCAAAAATCCCAGGGAACTTGGGGCTCCCAGGCCTTGCTCCCATGGCTGACCCTCCTTTGGGGTGACCTACTCCTCCTCGCCTGCTTCACCAGAGCCGAATCCTCCTCTAGCTTGTACCTTGCATCTTGCCCGTGGGGGCCCTTCAGGCTCCTTTACTGGGTGACACAATGGGCTTGCGCACTTTGGACTCTCACGGGGCAAGATCTCAACGAAGTCAAAGGGGCAGTGCCTTCCTAGGGGGCATCCTAGAGAGAATCTGTGAATATGAACCAGGGAATGTGTAGGCACACATTCTTGCCAGCCTTTCTTTTCTTGGTAGAAAAATGTTTAAATCGAACTGTAACGTTTACAAAGAAGAGTGCGTATATCAGCAGTGTACAGCTTGGTGAGTTTATCCAAATGAGCCTGCTCATGGGTGTGCCATCCAGGTGAAAAGCAGGACATTGCCAGCATCACAGATGCCCCTGCCAATATGTACTCCCTCCTTCCTCCCTGAAGGGGACCCCTTTGACTCCAGCAAGTGCTAGTAGCGAAATATTCGAAATGACCATATCGCCTAACAATAGAATAACGGTACTGAAGTTATGGTCAAGTCCTGTATTGGAGCCTGCCCAGCAATAAACATGAAAGCATCAGCAAGGATAAATTTCCAACCATGACACTGAGGAGGCCCAGTGTCTGACTCTTAACTATTGTCCCTTATTGGCTGTGTGGCCTTAGGGAAGTTGCTCTCCCTCTCTGATCCTCTATTTCATAACATGTAACATAGAAATAGCAATAGTCCTATATCAGTTACTATTAGCTACATAAATGTTACATAATGAATGACCCCCAAACATAGTGGTATTAAAAATAACCTTCTGTTATTGCTTATAAGTCTCTGGGTGGCCTGAGCAGCTCTTCTGCCCTTGGCTGGGAGACCTCTTGTAGTCAGGTGCAGGGTGGGTAGGTGGTTCTGCTGGTCTCAGCGGGCTCTCTCTGGTGTCTGGGCGTCAGCTGGCCATGAGCTGACCCAGGCCAGCCTTGGCTAAGATGACTCATCTGGGCTCCAGGCCTGGCCTGTCCTGAGCAGGGAAGCCCAGGCTGTTCCAGTGGGAGAGCAAGCAGATATGTGCAGGGCCCCTTGAGATCTGGACTTGGAACTAGCAGTGTCACTGCTGCTGTCTTCAGTTGGTCACTGCAAGTCCAAGGCTGAGCCCTGACTCAAGGAGTGGGGAAATAGCTTTTGCCTCTTGATGGGGAAAATTGCAGTATCTCTGTGTAAAGAGCATGGGTACAGGGAGGGAGGGAGAATGGGGGTTATTTTTCTAATAATTTTTACCACAGTGCTTAATGGAGCTATTTTGAGCATTTAATCAAGTAGGATAGACAATGCCTCATCTGTACTAGGCATTCAATATATGGGAGCAGCTATCGTATTTTTCTGTAATGTTTTATTTCTGATGATCAAAGTAATGCACGTTCTTTATTAAAAAACTAGAAAGTGCATAGAAGTGTCAGGAAGCAGAAAACACAACCTCTTTTAGCCCACCAGCCAGAGACGGTTACTGCTGTCTGTATTTTATAGCAGTTTTTCCATGCATTGTCTTCTCTGCAGATTTCTGAGACTGCTGCATACATGCTTTTGTTTGCCTCACAGCATTCTGTTACTCACATTTCCTCACTCTGTTTGTAACTCTGAGGAAACGTGCATTTCAGTGGTTGTGTCTGATTCTGTATCAGCTGTCCTCTGGACACTTGGGTGGTTTCCATGATTAAGCCATTATAAACAACACTGTGATGAACATCTCTGTGCATAGACATGTCCAGGCACTTCTGGTTATTTTCATATGGCAACTGTTATTTTCCATAGTTTATGCTTGCTTGTTCCCTCCAAGACTCAGCACTCAGCCCAGCACTTATGAGTAAATATGAGAAAAGTTTGGATTGAATTAGCAGTTCCTGGTAAAAGTCCTCACCAGGATTGCTGGCAACTCTGCAGGATAAATAGTATCAGGATGTTATTGGGACGTTGCTCTTTCTTCTCATGCAAGGTCCAAGGGGTGATGATAAAAACAAACAGCCCTATTAAAAATAGGCAAAGGACTTGACTAGGTATTTCTCCAAAAAAGATACAGAGATGGCCAATAGTACTTAAAAAGATGATCAATGTCACAAATTTGGGGAAATGAAAATGAAAATCACATTGACATATCATTTCGTACCCATTAGTATGGTTATTATTTAAAAAACAAACAGACAGAAAATAACACATATTGGTGAGGATGTAGAGAACTTGGAACCCTGGTGGGAAAATAAAATGGTGCAGCCACTATGCAAAATACTAATTTTTCTCAAAAAATTATAAGTAGAATTGCCATATGGTACAGCAATCTCACTTCTGGGTAGCTACTCCAGGAGAATTGAAAGCAGCGCTCTTTGCAGCCGCCAAAAGGTGGGAGCAACCCGTGTCCATCGATGGATGAACGCATAAACAAACTGGTGGACACATTTAATGGAATAATATTCGACCATAAAAAGGAAGGAAATTTTGACTCATGCTACAGAATAGATGAGCCTTGAGAACATTATGCTAAGTGCAGTTGGCCAGTCACAAAAAAGACAAAAACTATATGATTCCACTCATATGAGCTACTTAGTCAAATTCATGGACAGAAAAAGTAGAAAGGTGGGTGCCAGGGGTTGTGGGGACAAGGGAATGGGGAGTCAGTGTTTAGGGGGAGCAGAGTTTGCAAGATGAAAAAGTCCTGGAGATGGCGGTGGTGACGGCTGCACAGCAATGGGAATGTACTTAAGGCCGCTGAACTGCACGCTTCACAGTGACTGAATGCTGACCTCTATGCTGTGTATATTTTACCACAATTTAAAAATGATAGTTAAAAAAAAAAAGCTGAGGGGTGATGAAAGTCCTCACATCTCTTTCTTCCTCCAGAAGTTTTCTATCCCATTCGGGTCAGGGAGGGAACTAACGCTGACCTTCTGTGACTTTCCAGGAGGGGATACCTGTGCGGTTTGACCTCCCAGAGCCGTCCCCGGGGACCACGGTGGCTGTTGTGGATCAGAATCCCTCCCAGGTAACACGAGGCCCAGCATACCAAGGCTCTCAGACACCATGAGGCCTTTTAACTAAAATACTAGCAGATTTGAGCCTTTTAGCTACTAGTTCTCAAAGGTGTCCGCACCTAGAATCAGCCAGAGACTGTTGAAAATGCTGATGCCCGGGGCCCGCTCCCAGGGTCTGCACTGATTGGTATGGGGGTGTGACCTGGGCAACAAATATTTAAATCCCGTGAGGTTGAGAATGACTGTTCTGCGTCTGAGTCTGTGTCTTAGAATGTGCTCGCATGTGGGGACCTGTGGGCTGAGCTGAGGGGCGTTCAGGGCCAGGGCCTTCAGCCACTCTTACCTGGAAGCAGCAGGTGTTCAGATGCAGGTGTCAGGGACCACCGGGAATGAGGAAGGGGGCAGTGCTGGACCTGGACTACTGGCCTCCCTTTGGGGGCAGACAGGCCTTTTTGGGGAGATCTGAACCTTACCTCACTTCTCCTTTCTAGGGAGACCCCTCTGCAGACCCCAGACCCGCTCCTCTGCCCAACTCTTTCCCAGAAGCACCCCAGACCATTTCATTTGGTTTGCCAGGTTCTGGTCCAGTGTGATGATTTGGGGCAGCTCACTTCACCAATCCCAGTCTCAGATTTTTTCACTTCCAAAAGGGGAGCAAGAGTCTCCACTGCTGTGAATGCCCGTGAGAGCTTGCACATAAGGCGCCTGGCCGGGGGCTTGGCACCTAGTAGGTGTCCTGCAGGCCACATTTCTCCTGCCCCTTGATACCATAGGTTGCCATTGTCCTCATTCCTTGTCTCCTTTGGCCAGGTGCTTTCCAGGCCTTGTCTTGGCTCACAGTGGGCTGCACCTTGTCCCTGAGCCCTGCCGCCCGTTGCCTGCTCGTACTCCTTGTTGACACCTCTTGGGCCGGCTCCCCTGCCCCGTTGTGCGTCCTGCCTGCAGGGGGCAGGCCTGAAGGATAAACCCAAGCGGTGTGAGGAGGGAAGGGCTGTGCTGTCCCCAGGATGCCTGGGCAGTGGCTGGGAATGGCTACCTTCTGAAGATGGGCTGGCTATTGATTTTGACACCAGTAAAGAAGACCAAGGTGAAGGCTCAGGATTCCTGGGATCCAGTCCCTGCTCGGCCCCTGTGCCTCACTGTGTGACCCTGGATGGGTCCCTCTCCTCTCTGGGCCTCTGAGGGGATGCACCCATATGTCCAAGTCAGGGAGACCAGCTGTCCTGGTTTGCTAGGGACTTGGCTGGCTTTAGCGCTGAAATGCTCATATCTCAGGAAGGCCCTCAGTCCCGGTCACCGAGGGGTGGTTGGTCACTGTATACATTCATTTCCTCCAGCACCATTTGGCACCATTTTGGGTTGTGCCAGCTCACAGAGGACCTCAGATAAGCCCCGTAGACTCTGCAGGCATGTCTCAGTTTCCCATCTGGAAACTGCAGTGTTGCCTAGATGGTCTCTGAAGCTCCTGGCTAAACTTAAAATTCTTTGTCTGAACCAAGTTCACTGTCTCCTCAAAAATGTTCTTCAGGCGTTTTTTGTTTCTCCTTCAAGATTTTAGTTTAAAAAACTACAAAGACTTGTAAGAGGAAGTGAAGTGGATGGAATTAACCCATTTGCTTTTGGCTATGCACAAATTCATGCAGGCACCGGTGTGTATCCAGAAACATGTAATTTACAAAGGGCTTTCCCTTGTTGAATTCCCGCTACACCCTATGAGGAAGGCATTGCCAGTTTCCAGCTTATGTAAGAGGAAATGAGGCTCAGAGAGGTGCAGTAAGTTGCCCAAGGTCACACAGGAAGTGAGAGCAGAGGCAGGATTTGAACCTCTTATAACTGAGAGGTTGGTACTGAGTTTGGTGGTTTCAATACTGGGAGTCTGGGGAGTGGGGTCATGGATGCAGCTGGCGCATCTGAGTTGTGCTGCCTGGGACTCAGATCCCTGACTCCCGTATGTGGAAAGAGAAGCTCAGGACTGGCCTCTGATGGGGATCAGGGCCCCTCAGTGTATCCTGATGTCCCACCAGGTCCGCTTACCAGCTGGAGGAGGTACTGAGGACATCAGGGGTCTTTTCTGGGTCCTGGATGAGGAGGTCCGGGTGGAGGGCTCCAGTGACAGCGTGGTGCTCGAGCGCCTCTGTGCAGCCTTTGAGAAGAAAGGAGCTGGGGCTGAAGGTAAGGGAGCAAGGGAAAAGGATGCTGAGCCAAGCCTGGGAGTTGGAATCTGTCCTTGCTGGCTGCAGAAAAAGCCCTGACAAGGCCTGCACCGGAGTTGGGTGGGGTTCTGTGTGCAAAGCTGTCTGTGTGCCTGCCAGTATGTGCTTTCATTCATCTGTGGGTTTGGCAAACTTACTGAGCAGCTGCTATGTGCTGGGTACCATACTATGCAGGGGTAAACCAGCCTGATGTGACCCATGTCCTCACAGGGGAGGGGAAGTGGGAAGAGATTATGGACAAGCTCATGGATAAGCATGTACGTGTACAGTGAGCCTGACATGACAGACTGTGACACATGGTGGTGTACCTCAGAGGGCTCTTGGGGAGATGCACGCAGGTAAATCTGGTAGGGGAGATGGAGCACAGTACAGGACAAGGTGGAGATGTTGCCTGGCCTCAGAACGCAGAGGTGAGGGTGCTGTGCTGAAAACATTGGTCTTAAGCTGTGAGCAATGAGAAGCTGAAAAGGATTCTGGGTAGTAGGAGGTATGACCAGATTCATGTTCTGAGAAGTTCATCCAGGCTGAGGCTTGGGAGGCCACCAGGAGGAGCTGGCCTGCCTCGGGGATGTGGGTAGACTGGAGGGATTCAGCAGGTGGAACTGCAGCCCCTGTGATGGGTCAGATTGGCTGGAAAGGGAGGCAGGGGGAAAGCTGAGACATCCAGCCACGATGGGAGATCAGATGTCATGGGATTCAGCTTCAGTCGGCTCCAAGTTCAAGTCTGGCTGTCCATACTTTCAACCAATGTGATCCTGGGCAAACCTTGCACTGTCTCAAGGGGGTGTACACAGTGCGGGTGGGGATCACCCGGCCTCCCGTTCAACAGAATTGCTGCTGCACTGATGGGGTGAGACGTGTACTTGCAGTGCTTTGTGATCAGCTGCCAGGTGTCTCGGGTGCGATTGATGGGTTAGGCTGCTGCTGCTGATGAAGAATATCACCCCTGCCGTTTAAGGGGCTGGAGAACTGCTGCCTGGGCTCCATGCAGGGCACCATGCTCAGAGCTGTGTGCATGTTGCCTAGGGAGATTCTGTCACATGTCCACAGGTTGGTATTCTTAACCCCCAAGGTGTGGAAACTGAGCTCTAGAGAGATGCTTGTCTAAGGTCACCCAGACTGTGAGGATCAGGAGGAAGGGTCAAAGCGGGCTCGGTCTGGACTTAAACGTCTTGTGATCGCCAGTCACCTGGGGTGCCCTCAGGCATTTACGAAGCAGTACATCTTGAGATCTTATAGGTCCCAGCTGATATGGTGGTCAGGATGAGGGCTTGTGTCACTCAACAAATATTTATGGGGCCCCTACTATGTGGCAGCTGTTGTCCTAGGCTGGGAGAGACACCCCTGAACCAAGCAAACACCTCCGCCCCCACGGGACTGCCGTTCTAGCAGAGGAGATGAGATGAGTTGCCAAGCCCCTGAATCCCTAAGAAGGAGACCGAGGACCACAGTTCTGGTTGAGGTCACTGGAGGGAATGTGGGTTGGCAGAGAAGGTGGCCAAGGATTCAGCACTGGGACATCCAGTGTCGGGGGGCCAGGGACACGGGGAGCGACCAGCAAAGGCAACTGACGAGGAGTGGCCAGGGACGTGGCGGGTGTGGAGGACTGGCCGCTGACTTGGCACGTGGAGGTCATTGGTGTCCAAGCCCGGTGTGATTTCAATGGACTGTTCAGGGTAAATGTCTGAACACAAAGATTTGTGAGGAATTGGGAGAAGGCTTGGAGAAGGACACAGGACCACTCTCACTGCTGCTGTCCTCTGGGCTGGGGCCATCAGAAGCCTCCACCCCAAGGGGACCAGCTGAGGCCCTCTGTCCAGGACAGTCATGGAACATCCCAACACTCACATCAGGACAAGATTTTCTAGGCAGGACCAGCCCATGATGGCTGCAGCGGCCCCTCAGACCAAGCTCAGCACGTCAGTATCCAGATCACACCCAGAGAGTGGCTCTGCCAGCGACAGGCCCCGGCCGACTTCACCAGGCACAGGACCGGCAGTGCCTGGGGCTTGTGCCACTTTAAGGGGCCCACAGAAATGTTTTCATTTCTGTTAAAAGCAGAAGTAAAAAAAAGAATTTTTAGGTGAAATACCACATTTATGTATGTATGACTGAATTGTATCCCCCCAAAATTTATGTGTTGAATCCTAACCCACATACCTCAGAATGTGACTATATTTGGAGATAGTGTCTTTAAAAAGGTCATTAAGATTAACTGAGGTCATGGGATTGAGTTCTGATTACATATGACTGGTTTCTTTAAAAAGATATTAGGACACGGACATGCCACAGAGGAAAGAGGCAGGACCGGGTGGCCATCTACAAACCAGGGAGTGAGGCCTTGGAGGGAAATTAAACCTGTTGACACCTTGATCTTGGACTTCCAGCCTCCAGAATTATGAGAAAATAAATTTCTGTTGTCGAAGTCACCCTGACATGGTACTTTGTAATGACAGCCATAGCAAATACAGTTTACTCATGTATTATTAATCCGTCTGCCTTTATACCAACAGTCACGAAATACAATTTTTAATATTATTTTTTATGTAGGAAGGTTACCCACGAAAACAATAGTGCCTAGGGTCCAGAGAAGTCCTAATGCAGCCCCAGACGGCCCTCACCCTTGAGGGATCCCAGTGCTCGACTTGACCCTGACAATGGTCCTCTCTGTCCGCTGAAGATCACCTCCCTTCTGTTACGTACATCCGCCCTTTTGCCAGCAAGTGAAGGAGGCTAGAGGGCCGGAGGAAATAGCTATTGTGTTTATGTGAAGCCTTTGGTCTGAGCCAAGCCTGCTGGGGAACAGGCCCAGAAGGGCCCTGTGGGCACAGAGAACAGAGCTAGTGCTAAGCTTGGGAGTCCTCTCAACAAAGTCCAGGCAGACCCGTGACCCCCTTCCAGGCTTCCGACATGGTCCTGCCTTCAGGGAATGACTCCAGGGCTCAGGAATGGAGTTTTGGGGCCTGGGGGAACCTTACTCAGATCCTCAGGAAGCTGGGGGGCAGAGCTGTTAAAGGTCACCCAGGCTGTGGGCCCCAGAGGCCTGGGATGGATCCCGGCACCACTTCCTAATTGCAATGAGTGTGACTTCTGAGAAGTGACGTCCTCTGTCTGCAAAATGGTAATAACGGTAACACTTGCCTCAGGGGGCTGGTGTGCAGACAGATGAGTGGATGGGCGCAAAGAAGCATTTCTGCATCGTTCTCCACCAGTGCCCGCTTGGAGGGCTCCTCCTCAGACACCTTCCTGAGCTGGCTGAAGCTGTCTGCTCTGCAGCCATGCTATCCCCTCAGAACTGCCCGGTTATTTCTTTCAAGGCCCTTTCCAAGCTCCGCAATGTTTGACTGGCAGAGAAGAAGGCCAGTGATTCAGCCTTGGGACATGACAATGTCAAGGGGCCAGGGGCAAGGCCAGTGTCATTCCAATGTCAAGGCCCCGACTGGCACTCCGGTCCCCCTTCCCCTGCTCCCCATTTCCCCACTGCAGCCATCACTGTGGCATGCGAGGCACCTGCCCACTCGGGCCTGTCAGTTCCGTGAGGACAGCGGCTGGGCTGGTCACCTCTGTGTCGGCCCCTGGAACAGTGCTGGCCTGATGCAGTGAGTCCTTAATGCAGACAGATGGAGATCCAGAGGCGAATGAAATGGGTTTCCCAAACGGAATGCTTGCCGGATCCTGACAGAGAGTAGACTCAAGAGGGGGAGGCGCCTTGTAGGGGCAGGAAGGGATTTGGCCTGATTTGTGCTCCCTGGCCTTTCCCGGTGAAGCCTGTTGGTGCCCATCCCACGTACCTGAGCAGGATGCTATGAAGCTCTCAGTTCCCAGGGGAGTGACTGTTATGTCCTTTGACCTGGACTGATGGAGATAGACACATTAATTCAGACAGTTTGGTTTTAAAAAAAACATCTTTTGCCTCTAGGTCTTTCTCATTAGTTCTGAGTTAATGAGAACATTCAATCAAGCAGAACATGTGGGGCTTTCTGGCTAAGCCAGCGCTCGCGATCTATCACTTATCAGCTAAGAGTGCCTGCTGGGGGCTGGGCAGCCCCCGTGGAGCCCAGGCCTGGTGGACAGTCAGCTGATAGACGGTTGTGACGCAGCCGCAGAGGAGCCCAGAGAAGCCCCGGCCCCGGGCTGGGTGGGGGCAGGCTCCTGGGGGAGTGATGGTGCTAAGCCACGAGAGGGATTCTGGGTGAGGCTCCATCCAACAGGTGTTTGCGTGGGGCTCCTGCAGGACAAGCTGCCATGTGCTTGGTTGAACAAAACTGGTGGGAAACCAGCACCAAGAGGAAGGGGAGGAGAGGACCGAGCAGGCCTGTACCTTGGGCGCTGTTTCCAGGAGATTCCTGGGAAATGTGGCACCCCCATCTACAGGCCACCGCCTGTGACGGAGACAGGCTTTGGGCCGGCCGACCTGTGTCCTCATGCTGGCACTGCCCTGATGGGCTACTCTAGCCAAGCTGGCTCATCTCTCTGAACCTCAATATAGAGGCTTCACCTTGCAGAAGCCAACCCAGCGATGCTCACATCACAGACAAGAGAGGGACTGAGTGACCTCATGCACAGTAGTATGTCCAGCGGAGGCTGGCCAGGGCTCAGCAAACATGAACGTCCTTTCTTCTCTCTTGTCTTCCATCCCTATCTCTGTCCCCAAATCCCCAAGCACTCCTGGGGTCCTCATTCCGAACCCAGCTCTGCGCTAGCTGCGGGACATAATGGAGTGAGCACAGACCCTGCCCTCAAGTTGCTTCCAGTCCCATGCCAGGAGGCAGCCATGGAGAAACCTGCAGCCCTGGAGAGGCAGCGTGGACGTAGGGGCCAGAGCCAGCTGTGTTTTTGTCACCGTGCTGTCCCTGGAAGGCGACTTGCTTGCAGACAGCTGCATGGCTCTGAAGGGCTCATGGCAGGCTCCTGACCCAGCAGTTCTTCACTTAGCCAGAAGGGTTCCTTGCCAGTCAACCTCAGTGATCCAGAATGCAGAGGCCATCTGGGAAGTGGGCACGAAGCACCTCCAGGAAACCAAACACATGGCAGAACCCACAGCCCTTACTCATCAAAAGCCGGCAGACTCCAAGACTGTTTATTCTGTACAGAGTTCCAGGAAGTGCGGGTCCCTGGTTTCCTAGCTCACTGTAGCAGATCAGAATTTGGGAGCAGGGCTCAAGGTGCTGGTACCTGCTGGTACGTTGAGAACAGAAGGATGGGAAAGCACAGAAAGGTCATTCGGAATAGATACAGGAAACAGAACAACACTACCGCCCCTGATAGTAACTGGTCTGGGGCCATTACAATCTGAGAGCATCAATGTAATTAGAGTGATGTGATTAATAACCAGCAATTCATTCATTCAGTCATTCCACAAGCACTTCCAGACTTTATTCCTGTATGTATTATTTAACCCATATTTTACCGTGGAGACTGAGACTCAGAGATTTAAGTGGCTTGGCCCTTGTCGTATGGTAATAAATGATAGAGCCAGGATTTGAACCCAGGTCTTCTCTCACTCCAAGCCCATTTGTTTCTCCTGCTCAGTCCGTTACGAACAAGTGTGCCAGCGTCTCACAGGAATATGTGTGCATTTATTTGGTTGGTGCTATTTAAGATGATTTTAGGTGGCACATGAATAAATATCTCCAAGATATTTAATGGTTACATATTTATTTCCATGCATATTAGAAAATAAATATAGCTTGCACATCAAGCCTGCATGCAGTATAATGCTCCTTTATAAATGGATTTACTTGTAAAAATGTGTCGAATTAAAGGAAATGTTAAACATATAACAGCCTAGGTGGTACCTCAGTACGGCAAAAATTATAAAGATGGTAAGAATTAATGATATTGGGGGAAACAGGTATCCTGGATTTAAGAACGCAAGAGGGACAGGATCCATAAATGCACCAAGTGGGAGAATGTGGGTGCCTGGTGCTGGTAGCCTCAGCTCTCTGGAAACATGTTTAACTGGAAAAGTGTGTTCTTGGTGACATCCACCGTGTCCCCGCCGGGCCCCAACTCTGATGTGCTGTGTCTGCTTTCAGGGACCTCTGCCTTTCGCCCCTGTGAACAGCCCCTCCAGTGTGAGATTGCCCACCAGCTGGGCCAGGACCCTGTGCGCTACGACCTCACGGGCTGGCTCCACAGGGCCAAGCCCAACCTCTCGGCCCTGGATGCCCCCCAGCTCCTGCAGCAGTCAAGAAGGTGAGCCTGGCCAGGGCTGGGGACAGGGCAGCGGCAATTTCCCCCGCCTCTGGGGTCACACAGCCATGACTCACCAAGGGAGGGCTGGCCCGGGAGTCCCATCGCTCTGGTGCCCTTCCTCCCTGGGGCCAGCATGCGGCCGGCTGAGGAGAAAGGCTGGCCTTCAGGGCACACAGAACAAAAGCGAAAAAGCTGTGACTTCTTCTGGCTTTTTGCCTTCATTAAGTATCTGAGAGATGATGTGTCTGGAACAACTTTTATGGACATCCTAGAACTAGGGGGTCATAAAATCAAAGTGATAACGTTTTGTGGCATTAGGAAAAGCTCATGCATTCCCTGAATACTCACAGAAGTGCTGGCAGAGGGCTGGCAGCAATCCCTGCTTTCAGTTCAGAGCTGTTGGGAAATGTGTCTGTGTGAGCGTGTGTGCAAATATGCACGGTGATCCTCCCACGTTCAGTGCTGGACTCCTGCAGGCGCAGAGGTTAGAGATGAGAAGAGAAGCTGAGACCACCAGGGAGGTGTGGGGAAGGAACAACATTTATGGACCACCTGCTAGATGCCTGGCATCAGATAACCGTAAATGCTTTATAAGTATCTTAGTAATCCTTACAACAACCACCGTATTCTTAGCCCCATTTTACACATGAGAAAACTGAGGCCTCAGGAGGTGAAGTAGCTCTCTTTCGATCATATAGCAAAAAAGTAGCAGAGCTGGGATATGACTTGGATCTAAGTTATCCTTGCAGAAGCTCTCAGGACATTATGGTCAGATTTGATTGGAAACTCAATATGCAGGAGGGTATGCGGCTCCTGAAAGGAGATCAAGTCAGGAGATGGGGCACAAGGCAGGGTAATGAGCAACACAGAGAGCCAGGGGACCCGGGCCAAATGCTAGCCCTGCCCCGTCTCACCCAGGTGACTGTGGAGTGTCCCTTTCCAGGTAAATTCCCCTCCTCTAAAACCTGGTGGCCCAAGTTGGGTGAGAGGTTATAGGGTTAGGAAAGGTGGCGGTGAACCATTGTTGACCACATGGCCTGGTGGGTGAGAGGCATTCTGAGAAGAAGGAACAGCATGTGCAAGGTCACAGCCCGTGGGGGTGAGAGAGCACGGCTGGTTGGGGGTAAATCCTATAAAGATGTCTTGTATGCTTAAGAGCCAAGCATTGGTGATTTTTGAGAACAAACAGCGCTTTTTTAAAGAGGGCTAGCGTCCCCAGGACTGCTCCTTTAACATTCTGGTTCCTGGGCACCCCCAATCTCTCTGGATGCTTGCCTTGTCCACAGGCTCCCCAGAGGTGCTCAGGCGCACTCGTTTCAGAACCGTGGTTTGGGTGAAGCCCTTTTGCTCATACACAGTGAGCTGAGACCCAAAGTGGACACAGCTTGCCGGGGTCACCCCATGAACTGAAGACCAGAGGTCAGGTCTCCCAACCCTACAGACGGGCAGCCCACATACCGGGTCAGGGCTGGGGACACAGACTCCTCCTCTGGTACCGGCGGGTGGGGTCCACATGCCCCCGGGCCCTGCCCTCACCTCTCAGGGCTCCTGCTTCCAGGGCCATTGCCTCAGATTGAATTTTCAGCATGAGTGTAGCCAAGCCATTGGTAATCTTTGTGCAGAAAGATGAACAATACCTTTGACTCATCTGGGCGAGACTCCTTCCTCAATAGTTTGGATGGTGGGCGTTGGTGCAGGGGGAGAGGGAGAAGGCATCTTCAGGGCTGGGGCCCAGTGCGGCCTGGATTTGCAGGGCCACTGGGTGCTTCCAATGTGGGGGATGGGCAGGTGGGACCCAGGGGGCATGAGGTCTTCCCTGGGTCTCAGCCCCATCCTAGGGCACAGCAGGGTCTGCCCAGCCTTCTCAGCCCTTTGTTGCCCAAGCAGTAAAGTTAAACATATAACAGCCTAGGTGGTACCTCAGTACGGCAAAAATTATAAAGATGGTAAGAATTAATGATATTGGGGGAAACAGGTATCCTGGATTTAAGAACGCAAGAGGGACAGGATCCATAAATGCACCAAGTGGGAGAATGTGGGTGCCTGGTGCTGGTAGCCTCAGCTCTCTGGAAACATGTTTAACTGGAAAAGTGTGTTCTTGGTGACATCCACCGTGTCCCCGCCGGGCCCCAACTCTGATGTGCTGTGTCTGCTTTCAGGGACCTCTGCCTTTCGCCCCTGTGAACAGCCCCTCCAGTGTGAGATTGCCCACCAGCTGGGCCAGGACCCTGTGCGCTACGACCTCACGGGCTGGCTCCACAGGGCCAAGCCCAACCTCTCGGCCCTGGATGCCCCCCAGCTCCTGCAGCAGTCAAGAAGGTGAGCCTGGCCAGGGCTGGGGACAGGGCAGCGGCAATTTCCCCCGCCTCTGGGGTCACACAGCCATGACTCACCAAGGGAGGGCTGGCCCGGGAGTCCCATCGCTCTGGTGCCCTTCCTCCCTGGGGCCAGCGTGCGGCCGGCTGAGGAGAAAGGTTGGCCTTCAGGGCACACAGAACAAAAGCGAAAAAGCTGTGACTTCTTCTGGCTTTTTGCTTTCATTAAGTATCTGAAAGATGGTGTGTCTGGAACAACTTTTATGGACATCCTAGAACTAGGGGGTCATAAAATCAAAGTGATAACGTTTTGTGGCATTAGGAAAAGCTCATGCATTCCCTGAATACTCACAGAAGTGCTGGCAGAGGGCTGGCAGCAATCCCTGCTTTCAGTTCAGAGCTGTTGGGAAATGTGTCTGTGTGAGCGTGTGTGCAAATATGCACGGTGATCCTCCCACGTTCAGTGCTGGACTCCTGCAGGCGCAGAGGTTAGAGATGAGAAGAGAAGCTGAGACCACCAGGGAGGTGTGGGGAAGGAACAACATTTATGGACCACCTGCTAGATGCCTGGCATCAGATAACCGTAAATGCTTCATAAGTATCTTAGTAATCCTTACAACAACCACCGTATTCTTAGCCCCATTTTACACATGAGAAAACTGAGGCCTCAGGAGGTGAAGTAGCTCTCCTTCGATCATATAGCAAAAAAGTAGCAGAGCTGGGATATGACTTGGATCTAAGTTATCCTTGCAGAAGCTCTCAGGACATTATGGTCAGATTTGATTGGAAACTCAATATGCAGGAGGGCATGCGGCTCCTGAAAGGAGATCAAGTCAGGGGATGGGGCACAAGGCAGGGTAATGAGCAACACAGAGAGCCAGGGGACCCGGGCCAAGTGCTAGCCCTGCCCCGTCTCACCCAGGTGACTGTGGAGTGTCCCTTTCCAGGTAAATTCCCCTCCTCTAAAACCTGGTGGCCCAAGTTGGGTGAGAGGTTATAGGGTTAGGAAAGGTGGCGGTGAACCATTGTTGACCACATGGCCTGGTGGGTGAGAGGCATTCTGAGAAGAAGGAACAGCATGTGCAAGGTCACAGCCCGTGGGGGTGAGAGAGCACGGCTGGTTGGGGGTAAATCCTATAAAGATGTCTTGTATGCTTAAGAGCCAAGCATTGGTGATTTTTGAGAACAAACAGCGCTTTTTTAAAGAGGGCTAGCGTCCCCAGGACTGCTCCTTTAACATTCTGGTTCCTGGGCACCCCCAATCTCTCTGGATGCTTGCCTTGTCCACAGGCTCCCCAGACGTGCTCAGGCGCACTCGTTTCAGAACCGTGGTTTGGGTGAAGCCCTTTTGCTCATACACAGTGAGCTGAGACCCAAAGTGGACACAGCTTGCCGGGGTCACCCCATGAACTGAAGACCAGAGGTCGGGTCTCCCAACCCTACAGACGGGCAGCCCACATACCGGGTCAGGGCTGGGGACACAGACTCCTCCTCTGGTACCGGCGGGCGGGGTCCACATGCCCCCGGGCCCTGCCCTCACCTCTCAGGGCTCCTGCTTCCAGGGCCACCGCCTCAGATTGAATTTTCAGCATGAGTGTAGCCAAGCCATTGGTAATCTGTGCAGAAAGATGAACAATACCTTTGACTCATCTGGGCGAGACTCCTTCCTCAATAGTTTGGATGGTGGGCGTTGGTGCAGGGGGAGAGGGAGAAGGCATCTTCAGGGCTCGGGCCCAGTGCGGCCTGGATTTGCAGGGCCACTGGGTGCTTCCAATGTGGGGGATGGGCAGGTGGGACCCAGGGGGCATGAGGTCTTCCCTGGGTCTCAGCCCCATCCTAGGGCACAGCAGGGTCTGCCCAGCCTTCTCAGCCCTTTGTTGCCCAAGCAGTAAGGTGGGCCAGCTCAGGTTTTTCAAAGCGTATCTGTAAGGAGCCCTGGCCCTTGCCAACTGACCTCCGAACCTGTGCGTTGTAGGAGCGCTGGGTAAAGGCACTGCTGGCCGCTTAGCATCAGGCTGGACGTTTCACTGATGTTACCTTGAAGGTCCAGAATCTGCCTGTTCAGCCTGAATTACTCATTCTTGTGTGAAACATACAGTAAGCACCTACTATGTACTGCAATGTTGTAGGGAATCACCGAGATGATTTTGCACTCTAAGAAAGTGCAGGTTTGGTAGAATTCCTGCAGGTATGTAGGTGACAAGAACATACAGGAGAAGGAGACCTGCTGTCAGGTCAGGCAGGGAGAGGTGGGGAGGATGTTGCTGGCGTTCTTCACAAAGCAAAGACTCCTCTGGCTGAAGAGACTGTGAATAAAGGGGTAGCAGCTAGAATGTGATTCAAGGAGGGGGTTCGCGAAGCACGTCAGAGTAAAGCAAGGTGGACTCATTCCCCGTGAGCCCCTAAAGCCCTCTGCTTCGCCTCCCACCTGCCAGAGAGGAGCTGAGGCGCCTGTTCCAGCCCCGGGCCCAGGTGCCCCCAGTGTGCCGGGCCGTGGCGGGCCTGGAGGGCACGTCCCCGCAGGCCCTGCAGAGATGCCGCGCGGTGAGGAGAACGTTTGCCAGCAGTTTTGCTGCTGTGAGGAGGAAAGCCCCGTGCTCCCAGATCAAGCTGCAGATGGTGAGTGGGTGCCCTGTCCCTTCGGGGTTGTCGCCTCCCCTGCCACATATCCGTGCCCTCCTCCAGGTGGGTATCCACCTGCATTACCTCCAGCCTCGTCAGCCAGCCTGGAGAAGCTGGCGTGCCCCTGTGCTCTGAGGAGGAAACTGAGGCTCAGAACAGCAAAAACACGTGACCCTGGTCCCGTGCCTGGGAAGTGGTCCATCTGGCTGAGGCCGAAGCCTTGGCTGCTTGGTATTGCCGGGAGCTGCCTGGGAAGTGCCCAGGAACCGTGAATGCCCTCGTGACCAAGGGGCCATGTATCACAGTTAGGCCAGCCCCGTCTGCCTTCCTCCCTCTCGAATACCTGCGTTACTACCACGAGGCTCTCCCTGGGGCAGGCGGCAGGATCCAGCCCTGGACGGAGACATGCTACCTAGGTACTTTATCCAATAACAAATGGGACTGGCCAGTGGTGAGATGGGACCCAGAAGGAAGGGGCAGGGGTGGGACTGGAACCCTCAGCTAGGACCTAGGTGCTGGTCCACCTCCTCTGCTAGTGGTCTGGGTGACTTGGGGCCACTCAGTTGCCCTCTCTATGCCTCGGTTTTCCCCCATGTCTTACAATAAGGGCTGTTACTCTCATGGGTATTTCTCTTACAATAAGGCCCTTACTTCTCATGAGTACAAACCAGCCTACAGACAGGAGGTCCATGGTATAGAATATAGAGGCCCTCGCAGGTGCCCAGGCCAAGCTGAACGTACATTTGGAGAATCTCCAGACCCCTGTGTGTCTTGCTGTAGGACAGCTGGCCCTAACCGCCTCTCCTCTTCGTCCTAGGATGCGTTGACCAGCATGCTCCGACGATCTCAGTTACACTTTATTCACTGCCTGGTGCCGAGCCCAGTGGTAGAGGGCAGGGGCGGGCAGGGGTCTCTGACTCCACCACAGCCTGGTGGAGACAAGCCTGGGGCAGGCGGGCCTCTGACCCTGGACATCCCAGCCCTGAGGGTGCAACTTGCAGGGTCCTACATCCTGGAGGCGCTGCGTCTGCACAGGACAGGTAAGAGTCAGCCAGGGAGTGAGCACCTTGTCTCTGACTCCCGGGACATGCCCACCGACCAGCTCCCACCAATTACATGCCAAGAGCTTTCCGTGCAGCATCCCATTTATTCCCCCCAGTAGCCCTGGGAAGGGGAAGCTATGATTACCCCCATTTTACAGATGAAGAAACTGGAGCTCAAAGATGGGAAAGGACTTGCCCAAGGTCACACAGCTGGGACATGGCAAAGCCTGGATTGGACCTAGGTGTCATTGAGTCCAAAGTCCATCTCATTTCTGGAATTACTGATGCACTCATGGAAAGCTAGGGCTTTGTGTTTCTCATCTTCCATTCAACAACAAATCCCTAAGGAGCTCTACATTGAAACAGAGAATAGAATTCCCACAATGAGTATATTTTGGCCTTTATGATGCTCAGCCTGGTTTGGGAGGTCAGTGTGGAAGAGGAGATGATAAAATGACATGACACGTGGTATGTGATACGATGTGATATGATGTGAATCACATGGGGATGCAGGAGGTACCCGGGTGCCTAGAGGAGGGTGCTCCATGCTCTCACTGGAGAGACTGACAAAACCTTCTTCCTAGGGGAGGTGACATATTTCCTGGGTCTTGAAACAAAATAAGCAGCTCCACTCCAGGAGGTGGGAGGGGAGGGAATGCAAGGCAGAGAGATCAGCATATGCAAAGGCAGGGAGGTGTGGAGGAGCCTGGGTTTTCAGGGAATGGGGTTCAAACTGAGGGAGGGAATCATACAAGATGAGGCAGGCGGATCCCCCAGGGGAGGCTGGGAATGCCGTCTTTGGAAGTTGGCTCACTCCCCAGGCCTGAGGAGATAATGGGGTGGAAGAAGGGGTTTGAATCAGAGGAATGAAGTCTTTAGGCCTGCATTTGAGAAAGCGAGCGCCCATCCAAGCTTTCCTCCCCGAGCTCTTCTTATGCCTGCAGTCTGATCTGAATCCTTCTGAGATTTTTCTGCCTCTTGGACCCTGGAGGCAGCAGCTACACTGAGTCCCCTTCCTGACAGTTAAAAATGGCTCTGGTGTAGCCATTTGTCTGCAGGGGAAGCTAGGGCTGGTGGGGAGTCTAGGTGAGCGTCCATTTGTTTAATGTGGCTGTGGTCACTGACACGGACACTCCAGCTTGTGGTTTCTGTCCCACCTCCTCCCGCTGCGTTAATGATGAAACCCCCAGTACAAGGTATTGGACAGAGACGCTGGGAGCAGCTGGAAGCAGAGAGGAGAGCCCCACTGCCCTGAGCACCTCATTGATTTTCCTGCCTGTGCAGCCACAGGAGAGGGGAGACAGAGAATGCCACAGGGGAAGAGTGAAATGGTCACAGCTAGTGGCCAATCGATTCTTCCTGGCTGGCTGGCAGGAAGTGCTGGGCCTTTGCAGGTGCCCTACACTGCCTATTAGAACCGCTGCGTGCATGCTGCAGGTGGCACGTCCCCTTCCTCAGGCCTCATGTCCTCGCTGTGGGGTCTGGCCCTGCATTCTCAGCACGGCCCAACTCTATCAGGATGAGTTTTCCGAGTAAGTAAAGGATTGATGTCATGGTAGAACTTTCTAATTTCTACCTCCCAGTCCTGGTTCATTTCATTTTTTTCTGCCCTAAGTCACTCTGTATCTCTCACACTGTAGGAGAAATACTTAGATGCATTCTAGATACATACACACATATCAAATACTTACGATTTTGAATTCATGCCCATACATAATGCACACATATGTATGCTATTTATTGAGCACTTATTGTCATCAGATTTAAACCTTGTAGTGACCCTGTGAAAAAAAGATCTTGTTCTCATCTGACAAGTGAAGAATTGAATCACAAAGAAATGGGGTCATTTGCCACTGGTCAGAGGGTTAATAAGGGCAGAAATGGGATGTGAACCCGGGTAAGTCTGACCTGAAAGGCAGGCTTTTACCCATCCAGCCCTGCTGCCTCTGCAGTCAACATCCTTTGAACCTGGCCTGAGAGCCTCCTCTTCCCCCAGGATGGCCTCCTGGATTCACTGTACACACCCACCATCCCTTTTCCTCAAGGTTTATGTATTTGACTGATTATGAAGTGGTCTCAAAAGCAGAGTGAGATCTCACCAGACCTTCTCCCACCCAGCCACCTGAGGGGTCTTTTTGAGGCAGCTGAGGCTCTACCATGTCCCCTGCATCCAGGACAGAGTCCAAACCTCAGGGCTTGGAATTTGACGTCGAGTTCCTTTGGGATCGTCTCCTTGCTCATCTTTGACCTCATCATTGGCTCTCCTCCACTGGACTAGTTATTCTGACTGCCTGGGTTTGTTCCCAGCTGGGAAGGTTGCTATCCGGGTCACTCGGGGCTGGGTGACTTGAACTTCCACATCTGTAAAATGGGTATAGTAACATCGGCCCAGGGCGTCTGTAAGGCAAGGAAGTTGTTACCCGTGTGCCTTGCACACATAAGCTGTCATAGTAAATGCTAGTAAATGACTGTGAAACAAACCTCAGATTTCCCTGCTGCAGCTCTCTCTGCCTAGACTTCCCCTCCACACCAAATTGTCTGGCAAACTCTTAGAGAGCAGCTGTGTCTATCCTATGTGTTAGATTTAAAAGCCCTTAGATAATATCTGGTGCAGAATTTCCTACCTGCAGTCTGTGTGGTGGTAAAAAGTATTAGACCAAAAACAACTTTGTTCCATGTTCATATGGGTTTGGAAAATTCCAGATTAAGTAAAACTAATTAGACATCTCCCCTGCAGAGGCGCTCAGAGCCTTTGCCACCGATGCTGATACACACTGTGACCTCCCAAGAAGCAAATGAAAGCATAGCTTTCTCAAACTTTCGGCAGAGCATTTTATAGGGTTCATGTTCTGGGGGACATGTTTGGGAAATGCTGATAGAACCCCATCTCTTACATTAGCAAATGGGGAAACGAAGGCCCCTGAGAAGTGAGTCCACACAGCATGCCACTAGCCCGGCTGGGAGCAAGGCAGGGCTGCCCGAATGGCCAGGGCCCCGGGCTGGTCTTCTCACTTGGACTCCGTGTTCTTCTGCTCCCACCCGGCAGGCTACGCTGACCACATGGGGCTCCCTCAGTTCCGCCGGCGGTTCCAGGTGCTGGACCCTCTGCTCATGAAGAAGCTCACGTTGGCCTCTGAGGGAGTAGATGAGAGGAAGGTACGTGGCGCTGGGCACAGGAGGGGCAGAGGCCCTGGACGATTCTGTTCCACAGGGGAGTTCCCAGAGGGCATCTGGACCAGCTGGGGTCTGAGGGCCAGGCCTTGGGGGCAAAGATAAGGGTGGCGTGAGGTTTGGCCCAGAACCCTGCTCCAGCCTGCACCCCTGCAGTATCGCTGAGGGATATACCCATCCCAGGGTGGCCCTTCTGAAACCCTGCATGAGGACACGCAGGACAGGAATGACAGCCCTGAGAAAAGCATGTCTCAGCTTGAAGGGCCCCTAGCAAGTTGGAAAGCCATCATGTCCAAACGGGAGTTCCTCTTCATAGACAGCCTATGAAAAGAGGGTTTCTCTGCTCTCCTGCCTTAGAGAATCGCAGTGGGCACTGCCCTCAGGGCCTTTGCGCTAGCTCTTTCCCAAAGGGCCCTCTGCCTGGAGCACTCTTTCTCCCAAAATCTTTGCATGGCCAATGTCATCTTGCTATTCAGATCTTGGCTTAGTTTTTACTGTTCATCACACACATCCCTGTATCTGAAATCATGCAGATCTCTTACATGTTTTCTGGCTCATAGCAAGTACACAATACATTTTCTGTTGAATGAATGAATGAATGGCTACACATACCTAACCTTGTATTTCTGACCCTATGGATCTCCTTTCTGCAACTCTGCTGTAAACTCCTAGGACTGGAACCTCATCTTTACCCCTAGGGCCAAACCATCAATAAATGTTTCTATTGAAAATGGCCTCCAACTGATCAGTGATTACAGAGCTCTTCAGAATTTGCAAAGCCCTGTTGCATCCTTGCCACAGCCTTGCAAAACAAGAGCTATTATGTCCTTTTTGCTGATGAGTAATGGAGGCTCAGAGACATGAACTGACTCCCCCCCGAGGCCACACAGCTGAGCACCCATGGGTTTTGTCCTGAAATCCATTTCTTGGTTCCAGGGAGTGTAGTTAGGGCAGCATGGGCTCCAGAGTCCAAAGAGCTACTGTTGACTCCCAGCTGGGGAGTGTGAACTGAAACAAGTTACTTCATCTTTCTGCCTCAGTTTCCTTATCGGTTAAAGTGGGAGCAACCATAATGCCTATCTCAAGAGAGTGTTTGGAGGATAACGTATAACAGTACAGTTGATGTGCCTGACACAGAGCCTGCTATCTAATAAGGACTCTATACAGACGAACCGCTACCATCAGCATCAACATCAGCACAGGCATCCTCCTCCTCTGTCCAGGCCAGAGTGATGGCCGCCAAGCCGTACGGCCTCTGCATAGCAACCACGTTGAAATTCCGCCTCCGGGGGGCTATGTTCGGGTGTGCCTGAGATTGCCAATGCTGGAATCCTCCATCAGGGAGGCACGATGCAAGAAGGGTAAACAGAGCCATGATTTTGAGGTCCTTTGTTGGCTCTTCTCTGCAGTAGGGACCAGGGCACAGGCCACATCTTCTGTGCAGCTTTCCTGACTCGCCAGGAGGAGGGGACAGCAGATCTAGCTGGCATGGTGCAGGGATTTCTGCTCCCTGGTGGCAGCCCATTTGGGAAGCCGTGGAAGTCTGCCTGGCTTGGTACCACCAACCACTCTGTACCAACCTTCATTTGGGGTTCCTCATCCTTGGTCCCCCAAAACTTGATCTCTGTTCAGAGCCTCTGCAATGGAGCCATTGGAAGGATCTTGGGCTCCTCTGCAGTTGAAAACAGCACCAAAGTGGAGTGTGGGGGAGTTTCCTGTGGGGGCAATGAGTGCAGCATATGGAAGCTTTTCTATTCTGGACGACTCAGCAGTTCACTGTTGTAGCCGAACTGAAACCACCTCCATACACACACTGGAGGCCTCAGAAAATGGAAAATTACTGGTGGAATGGACTTGGTTGGGGATTTTTGCGTCTTCTTATTCTATTTTTATTTGCTCACAAATTTCATTTGCTTCTGCATAGAATTTTGGTAGCAACAAAAGGAAACACCATCCCGCCTCTTATGAAAAAGCTGATAAATATTCATTTGCCAGGCCACGTGACATGCCATGCATTATACATGAACACGTGCTCGGGTGGGCAAACTGTCAGCCTCTGTGTGCAAAGCAGTTAAGACCTCAGGATTTAATAAGACAAGCTTGACAGCTAGAAAAGGTCAGTATTGTCATTAGACACTAGACGGCAGCAGAGGGAATTCACTGTCAGGGTGGAAAACGGGCCTTGGTGAGGTTCCCCACTTGTCTAACATGGGGTGCCTACACAAGGCTCTTTCTCTTTTGGTGGGTACCTGCTGGATATTTTGTGTTCCTGAAATAAAAATAGCGTATGCCTTTTGCCGCATATGCACAAACTCTCATCACAAAATAGCAGGCACAGTGGGAAAAGGTCACAGACCCTGGACCTGAAAGAGCCCCCCAAAGATGCAGCCTTCCCACTCTGGGGATTATCCCCACTTGACAACAGAAGTGACTGCTACAGACCATCGCTACCCAGCCAGGTCCTGGAAGGACTGGGATTTGAACTCAGGCTCTCAGCTTCCCCACACAGGGCTTATTATTTGTTGTGGTAAGATACATATAACACAAAACTTACCAATTCACCATTTTTAAGTGCCCAGGTCACAGACATTAAGTATGTTTATATCGTTGTGCAGCCATCACCACCATCATCCTATAAAATGGAAACCCTGTCCCAGTTACACACTCACTCCCCGTTTCCCCGTCCTACCCGACCCGGCACCCAGCATTCTACTACTTTCTGCCTCTGAATCTGACTACTTTAAGTCCCTTGTGTAAGTGGAATCCTACACTATTTGTCCTTTCTGTGACTGGCTTATTGCACTTCGTACAATGTCCTCAGGTTCATCCATGTCATAGTGTGGGTCAGAATTTCCTTCCTTTTTAGGCTGAGGAATATTCTGGTGTGTGCTTATCCATCCGTCAGTGGACACTGGGGTTTCCTCTATCGTTTGGCTCCTGTGAGTGACTCTGCTGTGAACATGGGTGTGCAAATACCTCTTTGAGACCCTGCTTTCAGTTCTTTTGGGTGAATACCCAGAAGTGGAATTACTGGGTCATGTGGTAATCTTATGTTTAATTTTTTTTTGAGGAACCACTGTCTGGTGAACCATCTTGTGTTCCCACCAACAGTGCACAAAGATTCCGATTTCTTCACATCCTCGCTGACCTTTGCACTTCCTATGTGTTTGATAGCAATCGTCCTAATGGGGGTGAGGTGGTGTCGCCTTGCAGTTTTGATGTGCATTTCCTGATGGTCAGTGACGCTGAGCATCTTTTCATGTTCACACAAGACCTTTGAATGGAAGCCTTCTGAGGACAGGCAGGGTGTTCATTGAGGTTCTGTACAGAACGCATCACCCGTGATGTTAAAGTACTTATTGTTGATTTAATCCGACTTTAACCAAGTGTCTGCTTTGCACCAGGCCCTGTGCGAGGTGCCAGAGTTACAGGGATGGACAGAACACACAGTCTCAAGGGTTGGGGTGGGGGAAAGACAAAAACAGACAATTTCCATATAGAGGATGATGGCTTTGGGATGCCCCAGGAACACCCCTAAAACTTTTGATATTTGCAGTAGGGATGCAGGTGGGGCACTTACGGAGGACATCTTGGAGCAGGTGATGACTGAGTTGGGCTTCGTGGAACAATATGGGGGAATCAGGTGAGAGTCCAGGGCAGTCCACCTTGAGGGTAGCACGTACAAAGATCCAGAATGAGGTTGCATGCTGGTTTAGGGCAGTGGGAGCATAAAGGATGCCAAGTGTCAAGAAAAGGGCCTGAGGACATTGGCAGGAGCCAGGCAGCAGAACTTGAGAGTCTAGGCTTTATCAGGTGGGCAGTGGTCAGCCGAAAGGTTATCAGCAGGGGTGTCACAAGATCTGAGCTTTATTCCTTGAACTGGCCTAAGCAGGATTACAGAGGACGCCAAGTGCCTGCTGCCCCCTTCCGTGGTCCTCTCTGAGCAGCAGCAGCCTCACGTTGACATCCAACTGTTCAGGATGCATTTTTCTCTCCTAGACACCCAGGCACATGCTCAGGCCTCCAGAATGACCCTGTCTTCCCCTTCTTCTCACCATCTGGGGTCCCATTCCCCTCCCAGGTCCACCCATCTGGTTAAGATTGTGCCTTAACCTACCCTGAAACCCACTCGGATAGACAGTAATCGTGGAAGCCCAGACAGGTCCGTGCTTGAGCGCTTTCAGCTCACCTTGGCTCTGTCCCAGCTTCTGGGCCCTTCAATCTCTCTGATGCTTGGGCAGGACTTGCCAAGCCTCTCTGATCGATGTAAGGAAATCCTGAGGCCTGCTCTCTGCCCCTCTCAGCGTCTACAGTTTTGATTGATTTTAGCCAACAAAATCTCTCTCCCTGGGGACTTGATCACAATTACGGGATGTCAATCCATCTTCTCAAAGGCAGCCACTCCTGTTCTGTCTCAAACTCTGGTGGACACTCCCAGTTTCCTCTAAGATTGAGTCCTGTTTGTGCTGGGGAGAAGCCTCTAGGAGCCCATGGCTGGGAGGGAGAGCTGTCCCCTCTCGGTGTGCTGAACAATTTATTCAGAGGTTCCCACAGCCTTAGCCTTCTGGAATTTATGCATCATCCTTTTTTTGTGTACCTTATTGTCCTCCTCCAGTTTGGGTCTACTGTTTTAATAATCTTACATGTTTTCTATTCAGTGTTAACCAACCCAATTATGTGTGTGTGTGTGCGTATGTGTGTGTGTGTGTATGTTCACACAGTTTCTGCTTTGTGCCAGGCATTCTCTTTACAATTCTGAGCATACAGAGTTAAGAAATGGAGACATAGTCCCCACCCTTATAGAATGATTTGATCAGTCTGAGAGGTTAGTGTTTAAAAGCACGTGGTTTAGAGTCAGACAGACTTGTGTTCAAACCCTGGTTTCTGCAAACTCTTTCCATTCATTCATGCCCCTTGATATTTGATAGCTGTATGACCACGGGTAAGAGGTCACAGGGCATAATGAAGTGCCTGGCACATAGTAG